ATAAATTGTATATTAACCAATGTAATCTTAATTTACCTAAATGAAAAAAATTTTACAGCCAAGCCCTAAGGTTATGAGACTTTTTTAAAAACCATCAAAATTTGTTACAGGAAAGCAGAAGTCACGGCTAAAAAGTTTTCAGGTTTGAAAATATATTACATCGGACAAAATTCTACCAAAGATGTGAAATTAAAACGTGAAATAAAAAGAAATAATGTAAATCTCCTCACTGTTGAAGAGCTTATTAATGTGATTCTTAAATAGATGATGGTGAGGGGATCCCTGGGTGGCACAGCGGTTTAGCGCCTGCCTTTGGCCCAGGGCGCGATCCTGGAGACCCGGGATCGAATCCCACGTCGGGCTCCCAGTGCATGGAGCCTGCTTCTCCCTCTGCCTGTGTCTCTGCCCCCCTCTCTCTCTCTCTCTCTCTCTCTCTCTCTCTCTCTGTGACTATCATAAATAAATAAAAATTTTTTAAAAAATTAAAAAAAATAGATGATGGTGAATATCAAATCACTACAGCATTTAGACTCCTCCAAGTATAAGAATGATGTGACAGTTCTATTTAAAATGTCAAATAGGGGATCCCCGGGTGGCTCAGCAGTTTAGTGCCTGCCTTCGGCCCAGAGCTTGATCTTGGAGTCCTGGGGTCGAGTCCCATGTCGGGCTCCCTGCATGGAGCCTGTTTCTCCCTCTGCCTGTGTCTCTGCCTCTCTCTCTGTGTTTCTCTCATGATTAAATAAATAGAATCTTAAAAAAAAAAAAAAAGTCTAATATAGGGCATTTAGGTGGCTCAGTCAGTTAAGCACCTGCCTTTGGCTCAGGTCATGATCCCAGGGTTCTGGGCTAGAGTCCAGCATCAGGCTCTCTGCCCCACAGGGGGTCTGCTTCTCCCTCCACCCCACCCCCACTCATTTTCTCTCTTGCTTGCTCTCTCCCAAATAAAATCTTAAAAAAAAAAAAATGTCAAATATACACTTAATTAATAATTAAAATGTCAAATATAAAGTATGCTGGAAATTTTGTTTTTGAAACTATCTGAACCATCGATCAAAAATATTAGCTGTAAATATTAAAGTACAATGTCATACATAATTTATCAAAAAATTTAAGCAGTATACTAGCAAAAAGTGTCAAAAATAGAAAAACATAAGTCATATAATGGTCAGTAAGACAAGCAGCACTCAAAACAGTACACGTTAGCAAGGATAAGAATGCCGAAATAGTGTTTGAGGAGCAGCCCGCAGCAGCAAGGAAAAGGGCCAATTCCATGGTTTACAAGAACTAATCTTTTTGTTTTTAAGATTTTATTTTTAAGTAATCTCTACACTCAACATGGGACTCAAATTTTCAACCCCAAGATCCAGAGTTGCATGCTCTACCGACTGAGCCAGGCACCCCTTACCAAGAGCTAATCTTAAAGCAATCTTCTTTTAGGACACTTAGGCACGTTCTATTTCTAACCACATTTACTTCAGGCTTTATGAACTGGGGAAACAGCCTCAAGGCGGTCAAGTGTGAGCTTTAATAGTCTCTGGATCCCCGTCTGACTGACACAATGAGGGTGACTCCTTTCAGCAAGCATGAAGGAGCAACCTGCCAGCAACTTTGATCTGACATCTTTTCTTCTTCCAGATTCACAGTAAACTTGACCATGAAAGTCAGAGATTTCCCTTTTACTGAAATGGTACCAATGAAAATGTCAAGGGCATCCAGAACTCATTATTCAGGCAAAAGATTTATATTACCGTTTGCAAAGCAGAAGTTTGGAAGGAAAAAAAATACCTCCAAGTTCTTACTCTCCTTAATGCAGCTATGACAGCTGCCTATCTTTTACTGAACAAATAATTTAGAAATGATTAAAAGCAGCTCCTGGGGCACCTGGGTGGCTCAGGGGTTGATCTGCCTTTGGCTCAGGTCGTGATCTCAGGGTCAGGGGATTGAGTCCCCCACAGGGAGCCTGCTTTTTCCTCTGTGTCTCTGCCTCTCTCTGAGTCTCTCATGAATAAATAAAATCTTTTAAAAATATAAAAATAATTAAAAAATAAAAGCAGTTGCCAGATAAACAAAGCAAAAATCTGCTGCCATCTACAGTAACTTAAGATGACCTCAGTATTACTTTAAATCTTAATCACCATTTTGGAACATCAGGAAAACAAAAGTGTGTGAAAGGATCATACAACAGTCTGTCCCACATCCCTTTTCAAATCTCAAATCGCTCCAGAGGCAGTTTAGGAAAGAAGCTTAAAAAAACAGTTCTGGAATCAAAAATGCCTGGGTTGAATCCAATCTCTGGTTTTGTGCTAATGGCTAACTAAGTCTTTTAACCTCTCCTAACTGTGAGTTATCTGATTGTGCCTCAGTTTTCTCATCTCACGCTAAAGGCTCAACAAATGTGAAGTACTAGGATTACAACAAGGAAAAGAGAGAAAAAAAAAAAAAAAAACAAGAACTACCAATAGGCCTTCACTCTATCTCTCTCTGCTAGTAGTTAATCAAAAAGAAAAGTTGAATACCAAAAAATCCTAGTATTTTTTTTCCTCAGTTAATGACTACACCAGTGCAATACCTGGCTTCCAGCAGATTTTCAGTGAGGATAATCAGTCTTGTGATATGCTTCCCCAAAGTCTGTGAACATAGGGTTCATACCATCTACAGAGGGAATGACCTAAGCGCAAGAGACTAGCAGACATGACCTGCTTGGCGAAGTCCCCTTGGAGCATCACTTGCCTAGAAGTTGTTTAGTTTTATTTTGTCTTGGATTCCGGTTACAAGCCACGTGAACGGAGTGGTCCAAAGTACAAAGCAAAAGGTGTAAACGGTATTAAATTCTGGAGTTAGGTAACTAACTGGTCCTCACATGGCTAAACCTCTACTATGAATTTTTTTCTTTCTGATCATTTCAATTCCTCTCCATCTGGGGCACAAATGCAACACAGAACATGACAAGGGGGCCTCAGGCAGGGCAATCAGTCTTGTCCCACTTAATCTTTAGGCACCAAGGACAGTATTCTTAGCAAGCCTAAAGACAAATGGTACTTCCAAATCTATAAAGTGGAAGGAATTCAGAGGTCACAAACCAAACCAGAATGAAGGAGTGATTACTCCTCCCAACATGTCTTCATCCAGCCTTGACTGAGAACATGAGGACTGTGGTAAGAGTGGTGGAAGCAGTGGTGGCTGCAGCTCTGTGATGGCCCAAGCACCACACCACACACACACCCATTGACACACCAAATCACATTCAACTGTGCGATGAAAAAAAAAAGCCCCCCCAAAAAATACAAGACAGGACTTTTTAAGATTCTCCCAAAAAGGGATAAAAGCCTAAATGTTAATAGAACTGGTCACAATCTTAGCCTAAATCAAAAAACATTATTATTTATTCTCTAAATGATATACCATCATTGTAGTCAATTCAGTTCCACAGAGATGAGTAAGAGAGAAGCAGCTTCATTCACTCAAGGAGTTAAAGACACTGGTTATTAAAGGCCTATGTGCCATACGCTTTAACTCACTGTTAAAACATGATCCCTGGGGGGGATCCCTGGGTGGCTCAGAGGTTTAGTGCCTGCCTTTGGCCCAGGGTATGATCCTGGAGTCCAGGGATCGAATCCCATGTTGGGCTCCTGGTGCATGGAGCCTGTGTCTCTCTCTCTCTCTCTCTCTCTCTCTCTCTCTCTCTCTCTCATAAACAAATAAATAAATCTTTAAAAAAAAAAAAGAAAAGAAAAGAAAACATGATCCCTGAGGCGCCTGGCGGGCTCAGCCAGTTAAGCGTCTGCTGTCAGCTCAGGTCATGATCCCAGGGTCCTGGAATGGAGCCCTGCATTGGGCTCCCTGCTCAGTGAGGAGTCTGCTTCTCCCTCTGCCTCTGACCTCCTCCCTGCTTGTGCTCTGTGTCTCAAAAAAAAAAAAAAACAACTTTTTTTTCTTAAAAACAAAACAAAAAAAAAAAAAAAAAAACATGATCCCTGCTGCCAGTGTGTATCTTGTTCTCAGTTAAGTGGTGAGTAGCCCACAAAAATATAAGAGATAAAACAGAATTGAGTCAAAAGCAGCGTAGTATAAATCCCAGCTCTGCCACTAGCTATAAAAGCTATAAAATCGGGATCCCTGGGTGGCGCAGCGGTTTGGCGCCTGCCTTTGGCCCAGGGCGCGATCCTGGAGACCCGGGATCGAATCCCATGTCGGGCTCCCGGTGCATGGAGCCTGCTTCTCCCTCTGCCTGTGTCTCTGCCTCTCTCTCTCTCTCTGATTATCATAAATAAATAAAAAAAAAAAATTTAAAAAAAAACCCTCTAAAAAAAAAAAGCTATAAAATCAATCAACCTGTAAAAATGAAGATTTTATATGTACAATAGATATAAAATGAAGTTGTTATAAAGTCTAAACAACTGGGGATCCCTGGGTGGGGCAGCGGTTTGGCGCCTGCCTTTGGCCCAGGGTGCCATCTTGGAGACCCGGGATCGAATCCCACGTCGGGCTCCCTGCATGGGGCCTGCTTCTCCCTCTGTGACTATCATAAATAAATAAAATCTTTAAAAACAAAAAAAAGTCTAAACAACTTTAGGCTGTTTAAGAAATAAAGTTGTAATCAGGTTATATATATGTATACGTATGTGTGTGTATATTTTTATATACATGACTTCTGATTTCCTAATAACTACTATGGACTGGAAGCGTTACCAGTAACATAAACAGTCTATTAAGACATATTTTGTATGCTACATGTATTAAATACTGTATTCTTAGAATAAAGCTAGAGGAGAAGAAATGTTAAGAAAACCATGAAGAGAAAATATATTAACAGTATCCAAAAAAAAATCCCCATGTAAGTGGACTTGCAGACCCATGTTGCTCAAGGGTCAACTGTATAAAGTCGCGAGGACAAAGTGTGTTCTCGAGTGTGCGCTAGACTGGTCTGCGTTTCCATCGTTCCTGCCAAACTGAACCTAAGAATCTCTTCATACCACGATCCAATTTTGCTCATTGCCTACCGTAATCTTAATCAGGTAAAAGATGTCACACTTAATTCGAAGTTTTCTACTTTTTTGTTCAAGCTCTGTGCTCCTGGATACCATCCCCATCTTCGGGGACATCCCGCCTATTGTGCGCTTAAGAGACTCCCCACGTTTCGGTGACAGGAAGTTTTGCCTCAACCGAGAGTTGTGTGTGTCGCACGTCCGCGCGGGGGAACCGGGCAGACGACAGGCTCGTGGTGCACGCGCCGGGGTCACGGGGGCAGGAGGTCGGCCTCCCGGCTCTCCCCACCTCAGCCGCACCGAGAGGCCGTCCAGGACGTGTGGCCCCGGCCGGGCGCGCCGCTGTTAAGATTCAGACCTCACTGCTGCAGTATTTCCAGAGTTAAAATGTTTAAGAACGAAGGCAGTGACCCCTGACCCTACACCTGCATAAGGAAAGAGAAACTGTACTGCTGGACAGGGGGCACGCAGCCGCCCCGCGCCGCGCCGCGCCGCCCCGCCCCGGAACACTGGGGGTCCAGGCCCGCGGCGGCTGTCCTTGATCCCGCCGACCCTCGTTCATCCTCCCGCTCGCGGGGCCTCACCCGGCGAACGTGCACCGCGGAGGCCCCTTCCGTCCTAGTGCCCCGAACCGGCACCCGAGGCTCGACAGACCTGCCCCGGCACCCGCACCCCGGAAGGGCGGCCGCACGGTCACCACACGAACGCCGCGGGCACCGCACCGCCCCCGCCCTCTGCCCTCTGCCCTCTGCCCTCCGCCCAGCCCCGCGCAGGCGCAGCCGCAGCCGCCGACGCCCCTCCCCCCCACCTCGTGCGCGCCGCGAGCGGCTGGCGGCTCCTGTCACGCGCCGGGCCCCGTCCGCCCCGGTCCCCGCGGCCCGCGCCTCTTACCGGCGCCCTGACCCCGGCGCCCCGGCCTCCTGGCTCCCGACGGCCGCCTCGCAGGGCGCCTCCTCCTCGGCCGCCGCGGCCTCCTCGGAAGCCCCGGCCGCGCCCCCGGCGGCCGCCACTGTCTCCGCCGCCTCTTGCCGCCGCGGCGCCCGCCCGCTCGCGCTCGCGCTCGCGCTCGCGGTCGCGGTCGCGGTCGCGGTCGCGGTCGCCGCCGGGCCGGGCGCGTCCTGGCCGGCGGCCGCGGCCTCCGCTCGCCCCTCGGTCCACCTGCATGTGGCCGCCGCCGGCGGTGCTGAGGGTGCGGGACCGGCCGCCGCGGAGACGCCCCGACGCCACCGGAAACGGGTCCTTCGGAGAAGCTGCGAGCGACGGGCCCCCGGGGCGGCGAGCGCGGGGCGCGGGGTGCGGGGCCGGGCGGAGGCGGGGCGGGGCGGGAGGGAGCCCAGTCGAGGGCGGGTCAGCGAGTGCGTGCGAGGGTTCCACGTCTGCACCGTGGCAACTGGGCTTTGTTAAAGGAAGAAAAATACGAATATGAATACTTGCATTAAAGGGGAAAAAAAGGCTAAAACGTACATGCCAAAATGTAATCAGAGGTTAACGATGTTGAAACTCCCAGTGAGTTAATTTTTCCTTCCTCTCTCCATTGAACCCGCTGGTTTTCAAGAATGAAGATCTATGAATTACTAAAATTGTTCTGAATTCAGGGTTCAGGGGGAGACACGGAGGACAGGGCAGGTGGGCCTCGGTCAGAGGTACGGGCTGCCGCCAGCAGCGGGGGGGAGGGGGGGGGAGCCGCGCGGGGGCCCCTGGTGGCGCAGCGGTTTGGCGCCTGCCTTTGGCCCGGGGCGCGACCCTGGAGACCGGGGATCGAGTCCCACGTCGGGCTCCCGGTGCATGGAGCCTGCTTCTCCCTCTGCCTGTGTCTCTGCCTCTCTCTCTCTCTCTCTCTCTATCATAAATAAAAATTAATAAATTAATTAATTTAAAAAAAAAACAAAAAGAGCAGTGCAGAACTGGTGGTGGCTGGAAGGGCTCCCAAGCCCTGGGGGGGACTTTTGTAGAAAGATCTGCTTTAGCATGTGAGTGTTTAATTCCCTTATCAGCCCTGTTAGGCAGGTACCAGCATCACCCTTGTTTTGGAGACCAGAAGCAGCCCTGGAAGTTAAAAAACTTCTTTATGTGGTAGAAATTGGCATTTTAACTCAGGGAGGCTCACTCCAGTGTGTTCCTGTGTGTGTGTGTGTGTGTGTGTGTGTGTGTGTGTGTGTGTGTGTGTGTGTGTGACTTATGTAATAGAAAGTTCTGAGACTCATCAATAACTTTATTATTTTTTTAAATTTTATTTTATTTATTAATGAGAGACACAAAGAGAGGCAGAGAGACAGGCAGAGGGAGAAGCAGGATCCCCACAGGGAGCCCAATGTGGGACTCGATCCTGGGTCCTAGAATTCACGACCTGAGCTGAAGGCAGGTACCCAACTGCTGAGCCACCCAGGTGTCCCTTCTTCTTTTTAAAATATTTTATTTATTGGGATCCCTGGGTGGCGCAGCGGTTTAGCGCCTGCCTTTGGCCCAGGGCACGATCCTGGAGACCCGGGATCGACTCCCACGTCGGGCTCCGGGTGCATGGAGCCTGCTTCTCCCTCTGCCTGTGTCTCTGCCTCTCTCTCTCTCTCTCACTGTGTGCCTATCATAAATAAATAAAAACTTTAAAAAATTAAAATATTTTATTTATTTATTCATGAGAAATACACAGGCAGAGACACAGGCAGAGGGAGAAGCAGGCTCCATGTAGGGAGCCCGACATGGGACTCAATCCCTCAGAGTCCAGGATCACGACCAGGGCAAAAGGGAAATGCTCAACCACTGAGCCACCCAGGTGTCCCAGTAATTCCTTTTTCTTACTAAGTAGTCTTTAAAAAAAAAGAATAGACTGAATAAAAAATTAAGATTTTTTTAAATTTCTATATTCATGATAGAGCGGGGGGGGGGGGAGGCGGGTGGCAGCAGAGACATAGGCAGAGGGAGAAGCAGGCTCCATGCAAGGAGCACAATGTGGGACTCGATCCCAAGACTCCAGGATCATGCCCTGGGCCAAAGGCAGGCGCTAAACCGCTGAGCCACCCAGGGATCCCCCTTATTCAGTCTATTCTTTTAATCAGGGGAAAAAAGAGCAGTTGGTTATATGGATACATGAAAGCCATTTTTAACTTTGTATTACAGAACCACATAAAATTTAAAAAAGCAAGAGCTAAAACTTCCATCATTCCATCAGCATAGCAAAACAAGTGGCTTTCCTTCCCCACCCTTCCCAGTTCTTTCTGATATCTATATATACTTAACACTATTCATTACTTCTAACTGCCTGTTCTGTGCCAGGCACATGGCTTGGGCCTGGAGATTTAAAAAAAAAAAAAAAAAAAAGTCACGGTCCCTGCCTTCAAGCAGGTCAGTTTCCACTTTTCCTAGGATAACCCTGTAAATAGAGGATTCTCCTGGTGTGCTGAGTGCAGAGAAGGGTTCAAAGTGAAGGCCCAAAGGAAGACAAATACTCCCAAATAAGTAGCCCAAGGCCTTGTGAAAAACAGACCCTTTAGCCAAGAGCTAATGATTAAGCAGAAGTTTGCCTGGTTGATAATTGGGACACGGGAGCCCCAATTAACACGGGAGCTCTGTTCTAGACAGAGGCAGCCTCGAAGGATTAAAACTGCTGAGAAACAACCTTAAACACAGTGACAGAGCAGGCTCGTAGTACTGCCTACATAACACTTCATTTAAACCTCCCAGCAGCCGTATGGGGTTGTGCCAGTGTCAGCCCTGTTTTACAGATAAAAAAGGATCTGATACAGACAAGCAACTTCCACCATCACAGCTTGGAAGTGGATTGGATTGGAACCTTGGGCAGCCCAGCTTCGGAGCCTATGCTGTTAACCGCTATGCTCAGAAGATCGTTCTATAGAGGAGAATTCAAATTCTCGGCAGAGCCATTAGGAAAGTACTGGAATAGTCCCAGCCACAAATGATTAGGGCCTAAATAAAGTTGAGCGCCAAGGAGGCGGATAATGGGAGAACTGATAGGACCTCATGACTGGTTAGTTGTAAGTGGGGCAGGCGGTAAGGTCATGCCCGGGTTCCTGCTTGGTGGTGGTAGTTAATGATGCCACTGGTCGAGAGGCGATACGGTGTTGGAGATGTCCCAGGGAAGGCTGTCAGCATAACAGTATTTTTTAACGTTGTATTCTCTATTTTTCTGTGTTACTTCATTGTCTTAACAGTGAACATTCTTGTCAGACACTTCTCGCATAGTACATCAGCTTTTCTCTTTTCCCTCTCCACTAATATCCCACCTTTCCCTTTTTTTTCTTGAATTTCTCCACACCCCATTTTCCTCATTTTTTTCCATGTCTCTACTTGCAAAATTAAGACTGTCAGTCATACCCAGGGTTCAGTTACTCATTCCCATGTTCAACTCTCAGATTCAATAATCCCACGTCTAGATAAACACTAAACGGGAAGATAAGAGTAACAACAACTATATCCTCTTCCCTGTGCACCATGAAGGAGCTAAGAGGAGATACACACAGATAGAAAAGGCATTTTTACGAATGCATTAGACAGGGACGCCCAGGTGGCTCACAGTTGAGCATTTGCCTTGGGTTCAGGGCATGACCCCAGGGTCCTGGGATCGAGTCCCACATCGGGCTCCCCACAGGGAGCCTGCTTCTCCTGCTTCTCTCTCTCTCTCTCTCTCTCTCTCTCTCTCTCTCTCTCTCTCTGATAAGTCTTTTTTTTTAAGATTTTATTTATTCATGAGAGACACAGAGAGAGAGAGGCACAGACACAGGCAGAGGGAGAAGCAGGCTCCATGCAGGGAGCCCGATGCGGGACCCGATCCCGGGTCTCCAGGATCAGGCCCTGGGTGAAGGTGGCACTAAACCTCTGAGCCACCTGGGCTGCCCTGATAAATAAATTTTTAAAAATCTTAAAAAAAAATTGGACAACCTGGACCCCCACATTGGGTGGCCAGGAACTAGGATGCTGTGGTAAATTATCTCTTCCTGATTCTACATTCAGTGACATAAAGTTGGTACTTGAAATGGGTCACGGTAGGAATTTTTCCATCACAGAAATTGGCAAATCTTTGCAAATCAGGGCTTTGTTGCAGTGGGGCTTGTCTCGTGCATTGTAGAATGTTTAACATCATCGCATCCCTGTCCTCTCCCCACTCATTGGTACCCTCAAGCAACACCTCCTCCCCTCAGTCATGACAACCAAAAATGTCTCCAGTTTTTGCCAAATTCCCCTGATGGGCAGAATCATCCTGGATGAGAATCACTAGCAAAAGTTGATTTCACTCTATAACTATCCCACCAAAAGTCTCCAATATCATGATTGAAAAGATGGACTTCTTTGTGGAGTGAGAGCTCACATTTATTTAACATTTACTTTGTGCCTGACACTATTCCGGGTCCTTTATATGCACTAACTTTCAATCTTCATAATAGTCGCTCTAAGATAAATACTATTATTATTCCTGTTCTACAGATAAGAGAACTGAGTCACAAAGGAGTTAAATAATTTGACAGAACTGGGGTTCATACCCGTTCAGTCTGGTTTCAGAATCTGTGTTCTT